CCCCTCCGCCACCCCACGAGGCCCTACCGGCACCCCGCCAGGCCCCTCCATCACCCCACGAGGCCCCACCATCACCCCACGAGGTCTTTCCTCCACCCCGCAAGGCCGTTCCCTCACCCCACGAGGTTCCTCCACCACCCTGCCCCCGCAGGCTCCCCCCTGGCAGCCCCCCTGTGCTCTGCCCTGCAGCCCTGTCCCCTGCACCACGCAGCCAGCGTGCCCCTCCATGGAGGAACCGGCCCCTCTTGGTGGGTGACATCATGGACCAAAGGCCACTGCCCAGGCTGTGGGGGCGAATGCCAACCGTCCTGGCGTGCCGGGAACCGCGGCGAGCACCTGTCCCCTCTGCACGGCCCGGCGGGACACCCTTGGAGCAACCCTGGGGTCAGCCAGCCACATGCCAGCGCTGCCCATCACGGCTGCTGGCTTCCCTTGCCCGGAGCCCGGCCACACGTGAGGCTCCCAGTGGGTGCTGCGGGCTGAAGCAGCACCCAAATATTGTGGTTGCCATGGAGTCCCGACACAACCCACATCACTTACTCACGGCCCCACCTCAGCTGTTCGTCCAGAGCCTGCTCCGACCGCGGTGCTCCCCTGGCACTCCCCGGCCTCGCTCCGGCGGGCACAGGGTGTTGTGTACAGCCGGCCGCAGCATCCCCAGGGGTTGTTCGTGCCGAGGGGATGCAGCGTGCAGTTTGCTGCTGCCATGCAGGGTCCTGCAGGTAAATCAGCAGCTTGGGGAGCTGGGCAGTGGCTCGAACAACACAGGCAGCCTTTGGCACCCTGCGGTCTCTGTCTGCCCTGGTCCCCGTGCAGAGGAGCTGCAGGGCAAGGACGAACACGGGTGTCCCCATGGCTGAGCTGCCCCAGGGGTATCGGTTCTGCTCTTGCACCCAGAGCCCTTTGCTTTGGGGTACGGCCCCTGTGACAATCTCCCCCTCTTGGCTGAGGGGCACATATTCTCTGCTGGGACCTTGCTGCCAACCCTTGACTGGACAAAGCCCTGAGCAACCCGCTCATACTGATCCTGGCTTGGAGCAGGGTCTGGAGACCTCCAGAGGTGACCACCAGCCACCTCTGCGAGCCTGTGATTTGGGATCACGAACTTTACCTCCCGCCCCGGAGGTGAGTGCCAGGGCTGGTGTCAGAGGATGCAGGCATGCCACAGCACTTGGCCGCTTTGGGTAGCCCCAGGTGGTCACAGCCTGAAGCAGTGAAGGACCCCACTTTGTCATGTCCCCCAACCAGCCTTGTGACCCCTCCATCGGCAGGAGCTGCTGTTTCACAGCCCAGCCAGAGGCAGGGTGCCAACCCATGGCTGCCAGGTTGCAAGGACATCCTGGAGGGGACAGTCAAGAGTGGGCAGGACAGGTGTGGAGGCTCATCTGGACCAGCCTGATGCCAGAGTCCAGGCAGACCTCGCCAACGAGTGTTTCTCCTCCGTCTGGCTTGTCCTGGTAGAGCTCAAACATGGCCAGAGAGCCTGGGCGCTGCACGGAGGAGGTGGCACCAGGAGGACTCTGTCCTGAACACGCATGCTTCCAGCTCTTCATAAAATATGAAAGCAGGTCCCAAAGTGCAGAGGCTCAGAGGTTACAGTGGCTGGCTGTGAAGTGGGAATTTAAACCGGCCTCCGCCCGGGCCAGCAAGGACCTAGGGCTGCCGTCCCACCCTGCGGAAAGTGAGGAAGGGCTGCTCGCCTGCTCTCTGCTTTAAGGAGAGGGCAATAATTGGGGCTGCCATAGCGAGGAGGGTGGTTAAATATTGCTGAAGGTACAGCCTTGTCCTTAGCTTACCCTGCAACTCCTCACCGAAGCAGGTGTCTTTGGCTCTGCTTCCAGCTGACAGCTCCGGAGAGGAGCCCAGGTAACGCCGGCTGGAGCATCCAGCCCGCAGCAGCTCTGGCAGAGCTTGGCAGCAGCAGGCAGCACAAAAGCCCAGACTGACCCAGCTGGCAGCAGGCAGGAGCCGAGCCGGGGCTGGGCATGTCGGCAGCTCTTCTGCTGGAGCTCCAGCCGGCCCTGGGGACTGCAGAGCCCGAAGAGCCAAGAGGCGGCACATGGGGAGAGCCGGGCGAGTGGGGGGCACCAAGCCAGGGCTGGCGAGTTGCCCCACGGGGTCAGGTTGAGCAGGTCAGTTTTCGGTTCCTAAGGGCCAGGGTTTGTTGTGCGTTTGTTGTCACCATGACAGCCCTGTTGGGACAGAGCACAGTCCTTGGCCAGCTCCTGCTGTTCCTCACGCAGCCCAGAGACGGAAGCCCGGGAGGAGGCTGTGACTTGGTCCGGAGCCCGTGGCGCAGGCAGGAGCTGAGGAGGAGGTTGCACAGGTCCTGTGGGGTGGTGGAGGAGCATGGACATAGCTCAGTGCTCAACTCCCTGGGGACCTTTCCCTTCTTGCGATTTCCAATAAAGGTCAGGAAGTTCCCAGGCTGTCTCCTGCCCTGGAGAGCTTAATGAGCTGTGTAACTCCAGCGCTTACCCCAGACACACTGAGGCTCACAGCTCAGTGTCACCGAGACACGGCTTCAGATGCCGGGCTTGTCCCTGCTAGGACCATGTCTGTCTCCCTGCCTTCACACAGAGTCCTGGAGTGCTGTGACTGCTCCAGGGTGCAGCTCAGAGCTCGCACAAGAGCACAAGCACGACCCCGGAGCACCCTCTGCGCTCACCCTCCGTCCTCTTTGCCTCTCGCCTCCCCCGGGGCTGGGCACCGCAGGCTCCCCGGAGTCATCTTGTTTCAGGAATGAGTCGCTGGCTCGGCCGTATCTGGGGTGGGATGAGGTTATGCGGGAACGCTGCTTCTCTAGCGCAAGTTGCTACAAAACAGAGGGAAGTGTTTCGGAGGTTGTGCAATATGTATACGGTAACCCCAGCAACAGCATGTCCACAAGGCATTAATGGGTCTTAGCTGCGGCTGATGAGCGGCGCGATCGCGGCGTGCGTGTGTGCGTGCCGGGTGTGCCAGCAGCGCGCAGAGCCAAGGGGGGTCTGCCGCTCGAGCTGGGGTCCCGGCTGCGATGCACAGCACAGGGCAGAGAGGAGGAGAAAATGTACCCTCCTCTGGCAGGAGCTTCCTCCTCCCTCCCTGCAGTTCAAGGAAGCCCCCTGAGATGCTCTCAGGACGTGTCGAAAACAGAGCCCGGGAACAGACTCACCAAAAATCATTTCCCAAAGGAAGGTCCCCTTGACTTCAAAGAGAAAACTAAGAAACTTGAGTCACACCCAAAGATGAAAGCAAGCAGGGCGTACGTCCCATGCCAAGGCTGAGAGAGGAACGCGCTGCAAGGCCTGGCACAGCCGCTGGCAAGTGGCCAGGGACCGGGATCTCTGATTTTAGAGGACTCCGGAAAGCTGTCACCATCCTGCAAATGCATTGCTTGCTCCTGATGAAAAGCCGCAGAGGCTCATGGTGGGAATGGCCAGTCTAGGGCACTGCCTCCCGCTGATGGGAGAGTTCGTGCCCTGGCAAAAAACCTTTTATTTAGTGCTGGAGAAGGGGCTCAGGGATGCCAGACCTCAATGTTTCTGCAGCGATGGGGAGCTGAAGGCATCAGGAGTTCCTCTGTCACCTCACCCAGCTCTCTGATGGCCTCGGGCTGTCAGAGAGCTCGCGGTCACTGCAATCC